TACCGCTGAGTAAAACTCTAATGTGTATATGTTCCACACCTTTTTTACCCATTCTTCTATTGAGGGGCACCTAGGCTGTTTCCAGGTTCTGGCTATTACAAATAGTGCTGCTATGAACATAGTAGAACAAATGCTTTTGTAGTATGTTAGGGAATCTTTAGGGTATATTCCCAAGAGTGGAATTGCTGGGTCCTGAGGGAGGTTGACTCCCAGTTTCCTGAGAAACCGCCACACTGATTTCCACAGTGGCTGCACGAGTTTGCATTCCCACCAACAATGGATGAGTGTTCCCCTCACCCCACATTCTCTCCAGCATAGGCTATCCTTGGTGTTTTTGACTTTAGCTATTCTGACAGGTGTAAGATGGTATCTCAAAGTGGTTTTGATTTGCATTTCCCTGATCGCTAAGGAGGTTGAGCATGACCTTAAGTGTCTTCTGGCCATTCGATGTTCATCTGTTGTGAATTCTCTGTTCAGATCAGTACCCAGTTTTTTAATTGGGTTAATTAGAGTTTTAGTGTCTAGTTTCTTGAGTTCTTTGTATATTTTGGAGATCAGACCTTTGTCTGATGAGGGGTTGGTGAAGATCTTCTCCCAGTCAGAAGGCAGCCTTTTTGTCCTACTGACAGTGTCCTTTGCTTTACAGAAGCTTCCCAGTTCGGTAGATCCCATTTATTCATTGTTTCTCTTATTGTCTGTGCTGCTGGGGTCCTACTTAGGAAGAGGGCTCCTGTGCCTAAATCTTGTAGACTACTTCCCACTTTCTCTTCTATCAGGTTCAAATTGGACGGATTAATGTTGATGTCTTTAATCCATTTGGACTTGATTTTTGTGCATGGTGATAGATATGGATCTACTTTCATTTTTTTACAGGTTGACATCCAGTTATGCCAGCACCATTTGTTAAAGATGCTTTCCTTCTTCCATTGTATACCTTTAGCTTCCTTGTCGAAAATTAGGTGTTCATAAGTTTGTGGGTTAATATCTGGGTCTTCTATTCGATTCCATAGGTCGACTTCTCTGTTCTTACGCCAATACCAAGCTGTTTTCAATACTGTAGCTCTATAATAGAGTTTGAAGTCAGGGATGGTAATGCCTCCAGAAGTTCTTTTATTGTATAAGATTGTTTTGGCTATCCTGGGTTTTTTGTTTTTCCATATAAACTTGATTAATGTTCTCTCAAGGTCTGTGAAGAAGTTTGATGGGATTTTGATGGGGATTGCATTGAATCTGTAGATTGCTTTTGGTAGAATTGCCATTTTTACTATGTTGATTCTCCCAATCCAAGAGCAGGGGAGGTCTTTCCATTTTCTGGTATCCTCCTCAATTTCTCTTTTCAAAGGCTTAAAGTTCTTGTCAAATAGGTCTTTCACATCCTGGGTTAGAGTAACCCCAAGATATTTTATGGTGTTTGTGGCTATCGTGAAAGGTGATGTTTCTCTGATTTCCCTCTCCGTTTCTTTATCCTTTGTGTATAGGAGTGCCACTGATTTTTTGGAGTTGATCTTGTATCCTGCCATGTTACTAAAGGTGTTTATCAGCTGTAGGAGTTCTTTGGTAGAGTTTTTGGGGTTGCTTATGTACACTATCATATCGTCAGCAAATAACGAAAGTTTAACTTCATCCTTTCCAATTCGAATCCCTTTGATCCCCTTATGTTGTCTTATTGCTATTGCTAGAACTTCAAGCACTATATTGAAGAGGTATGGAGAGAGTGGACAGCCTTGTCGTGTTCCTGATTTTAGTGGAAAGGCTTTGAGTTTCTCTCCATTCAATTTGATGTTAGCTGTCGGCTTGCTGTATATTGCTTTTATTATATTTAGGTATGATCCTTGTATCCCCAGTCTCTCCAACACCTTTATCATAAATGGGTGTTGAATTTTGTCAAACGCTTTTTCAGCATCCAATGAAATGATCATATGATTTTTTTTCTTTCAGTTTATTTATATGATGGATTACATTGATAGATTTGCGTATGTTGAACCATCCCTGCATCTCTGGGA